TACACTGGTGTGCAAAACTTAAGCAACAAGTGGTTTTTCGGCCACAGCTCCCCAACAAAGTATAAGATAGCCATGAAATTGCAGTAAATTATGCCCGTAATTCAGTAGAAAGATTATTTGTATGCAAATTTTAGAAATAAAACGTTGTAGGTGATGTAAGTGTACGTAAACCTTGTGGGTCGGCGCGCGCAGGTCAAAGCTGTGATAAAAGGATGAAGAGCACCGTAGTTAAAGACATTCGCTGCAAGTGCAAGTGATTTATTTTGTGAAACATGTCTTCAAGAAATCATTTAGACGACTTTACTCGAGGAAGAATAATTGGGCAGCTCGAGGAGGGGCGTAGTGTGACCAGTGTCGCCGAAGAGTTCGGGATCAACAAAAGTGTTGTTTCTCGTGCTTGGAATGCCTTTAAAACTACTGGTAAAGCTGTTTGGAAGGTTGGTGGTGGCCGTCCAAGGAAAACAACACCAAGAGATGACCGTTACATTGTCCTCCAGATGAAAAGAAACCGTTTTCAGCCAGCGAGCCCCATATCTCAGCAACTGTGCACAGCCACAGGACGACAAGTATCAAGATTTACAGTGGCCAGGCGCCTCCACAAAGGTGGTTTATTTGCTAGAAGTCCTGAACGCTGCATACCTTTAAAAGTTAGCCATCGGCGACACCGTTTAGAGTGGTACAGGGAACACGAAACCTGGACATCTCATCAATAGAGTCGCGTCCTCTTCACAGATGAGAGTCGTTTTAGTGCTACAAGCGATTCTCAACGTTAGTTGATCTGGAGAGAGGTGGGAGCTCGATTTCATCCCAATAACATCTCGGAAAGAGGTCGTTACGGGGGTCCTAGAGTTGTCGTCTGAGGTGGCATTATGTTAAACGTGCGGACTGAGCTTCAGATCTTCGACCGAGGTTCTGTAACTGGAGACCGCTACGCCAATGAGGTAATCCTACCCCATGTGCGTCTGTTCCGAGGGGCCAATGGACCAGACTTTATTTTTATGGATGACAATGCCTGGCCACACCGTACTGCTAGCATTCAAGAGCTACTGGAAAGTGAAGATATCACACGAATGGATTGCCCAGCTTACTCTCCAGATCTAAATTCCATAGAGCATGTGTGGGATGCATTAGGGAGATACATGGAGACGCTTAGCATGGAGAGACAATGCCAAGCAACAATTACAGTAAGGGGAGGGCAATCCCATACTTGGGAACATCTGCCAGTTGTACTTACGCTTCTTCAGGCAATCATGTGCAATGCCACTATATGTCAAATAAAGCCTTTTTTTGTTCCATATCCTACTTTAAGCTTTATATTCATTTCTGCACCATTATTCTTTTACCATTGTTTAAGTACAAAATAATGTACATCATATTCAAATTTCATGTCAATCAGATGATTTCTTGTAGAGTTATGACAAAAAACGCACTTGTTGATTAAGTTTTGCACACCAGTGTAGTTAGGTATCATATAAACAACTCGTAAATTCCGTGCACAATATTAAATAGATTTAAATAAAAAGAGTAACATTAAGAATGATGACTTTACAATACATACAGAATGAGACCAAACAAACCTTTTGTTTATCCAACTCTTGCTGTTTGATTTCTTCTGCTTCCTTCCTGATTTCAGCTTCTTCTTTCTTAATGAGCTCCAATTTTGTTTTATTATCAACTTTACCTTCCATTTCTCCAATTTTGAATTTTGTTTCAGTAGTCTAGAGTCAAAGGGGAAAAAATATAAAGTTTGAGTATCAATTTGATATTTAGCAGCATCACTTTCTTCAAATCTCAAGCAAGCAATAAGCGGAGAAAAACTATATATTTTAAAATAAACTAAAATTGATATATTTTTAAAATAAACTAAAATTGATATATTTTTTAAAATAAACTTTCAAGAACATCTTGAAGAATAATGAACGAAAATCATCCAAATTACAAGTTACGTTATTTAAAGAAACAGAAGTGCCTACATTTTTTTGAATTTTTAACAGACTTAGGGAACATTATCCAACAATAAAATATATACATAAGGGAGAGTGGGGTAAAACTTTTACCCCATTTATCACAGTTACCTTGATTGTGTGGAAATTAGTTCTGTTTTCTCGCAGAGAAACACAGGATAACACTTTTAGAATAACACAATATTAAATAATTATAAATAAAAATGTGTCAAACTGCAATTTAACCAATCCCTTAATTTGTTTAATTTCGAAGAAAAAAATATAAAAACTATTATCTTAAAAAAAAACCTTAACCAAAAAATCTTACTCTTTTTCTGTAAAATAAGTTTTTATTAAACTTCCATTATAACTCTTCTTTTTCCCAAAGCAAACAATTTAAAAAAAAAAAAGTTTTGAAGCCTTCTGGATTTTTGTTCATTTTTGTATGAACTAGACCGAAATTTGAAACTGTTCTTCCGTTTGATGCTCAGCTGTATAGACATGAATGTTGACATACTAAAACTATTATATCATAATAAAATAACATGTATTTAGGAAATATGTACTAAATGTTGATAGTAACTTAATTAAACCTTTGAATTGATTAATTTAAAAAAATAAAATATTAACTCATTTAAAAAAAACTCTTATATTTCTTTGTAAATTAAAATTAGTTTACTTATTGAGGAATACACCACAAGTATGATTTGTTGGAAATACATTTATGAACATATAAGTGGGAGTACAGAAAATTCTTAGTCCCTATTATTTCCCTTTTATTATTTTTTTTAATCAAAATTACAGTACTATAACTTTTTTAAAAATATTTTTGGAAAGTAAAGTTCGCATAAGAAAAGAAATTTATTTGATTTTACATGATGCTCGAACAAACGAGTATATATTAAAATTATTAACAATCAAAATATACTGAAATAATAATAATAATAATGAGTTCCACTCATTAACTTAAGAAATTTAAACTAATCAATACACGAAATGACATTTCACATTTTTTAACAAGGAAAAATTTAGTAAAGCAACACATTATTTAACAATAAAAAATTTTGTTGAAGTTATTTTAAATTTTCCTATGACTGCCTCTATTTTCCTCAAACCCTCATTTGCATGATTAGACATATTTTGCTTAAGAATAAAAACAATTTTTTTTTATATAAGTTGAGATCAGATAATTATTAGATATATTTTGCTTAAGAATAAAAACAATTTTTTGTTATATAAGTTGAGATCAAATAATTATTGACGACCACTTTAGTTTTACTTAATCTAAAATATCTGCATAAATTGTGGTATAAAATAATTAAAATCAATATTTAGATTGATAATAATTAACAACTCAGTTATTACTTATAATATATTAACCTCTTGCTTATGGCGCTTAGCATAAGCAAGAGTGCTTTGCTTACAAGAAGTGGACCATTCTGGTCCATTATGTAAAAAGATTTTAATTCAAAATTATAATTGATTTAACTATTATTTAAAAAGGTTATTGAGTATATTTTTTAGATTTAAATTAAAGCTATTTATAAAAGCATATTCAAAAAAACATTAACAAGATTAGTATTATTAATTATACTGAATTTATTAATATATGTAAAGAATTAAGCAAACTAAGAAAACTCTGAAACATTCCTATTACAAATGTAAATTAGTGAATGGCTCCTAAAACTTTTTATTATTTCATATTTGGGTCAGTATTTCTTTAATGAAATGATTAAAAAAATTTAAATAATTTTGAAATGGTAAATACAATGAGTATTGAAGCTAAGCATTTTTGTCAGAAGTAAATTATTACATGCTCCCTACACTCTTAATATTTAACAAATCTGAGATAATTGAATTTTTTATTCCAATTGTTTCTAAACAAAATTCTTAAGAGATAATCATTTTTAGAATGAGAAATCTGAATTTTTTTAACAAAATTAAACATAAGATGTTTATTTCATGATCCTTATAACTAATAAAAGTGTTTTACTAAAACGTAAAAGCAGAACAATGAGTTAAGACTTACAGCAGTTTCAGGCAATGAAGACAAAGTAACTTTTAACTGATCCGTTGTAGGTACATTTTCAGGTAAATAAAGAGCACGGCTCAGTAATAAAAGAGAAGGCGGTATTTTTTCGTTAAGGCTGAGCTCCAACCACTGCAGCAACGAAGAACGGAGACGATGTTCGGGTATACCCAGTGCTCTCATTCCTCTTGCTCTGCAAGCAGCTTGCACTTCTGTGATTGTAAGATTCTCAATTCCTTCTTTCTGTATCATCTAAAAAAATGTACTTTTACAATAACAGGGAGTGGTAGAAATTTTTAAAAATTTCACATTAGTCTTAAGGATCGGTAGTTAAAAATTTTCCTTTCTTCTTTGAACATGTATTATGTTTACAATCAACATTAATTTTAAACTTGAATGAAAATTACAACTAAATTTCACGTAAAATACTTATTTTTAATAGAATAAGTTAAAGAAAATTTCAGGAATGAAATGTTTTAAAATGAAATTCTTATTTAATTACAAAAGATTTTTTGGGGCACATTTTGATATTTTTGAAGGCAATTTTCTTGCTATTTTATGGGTATTATTAGATTTTAAAGGTCTTTAAAATCCATGTTCTAATTATCACACCAACTTCATTCAAAACAGTGCAGCATTCTGACTTAATTGCTATATACAATGATCCATTTAGTGAAGTTGGCAGCAAATATGAGTTTTATGATATGATAAGTTTATAAACGTTAGAGTTCTAGCACTAAATTTTTACATTAAAAAAAATTAGTATATTTGCAGAAAATTAAATTAATTATTAAAATTAATTTAATTACTAGAATTCATTCAAAAATTAAAATTTCATTAAAAAATTTTATTTTCTAAAAACTTTTCCCTTTTATCAATAATTAATTTAGCAAATATATATATATATATATGTATACATATATATATTGTGATAAGTGATACTCAAATTCAAAATTCATGCATCATAATAACGTATTAAAATTGTTTTGTTTTTTAAAAAAAAAATCACACAGAATTTTGCAGCAATAACTGATGAAAAAGCGATCAAAACACAAAATAGACTTACAATGAAATCTGAGCACATTGAGTCCATTAAAAAATAAAGACTTAAAAGTGCAAAGCAAAATTTTCAAATTTTTTAAGTTTTTAAGAAAAAGAAATTCATTGTGTTTAGAATGCCGGAGCGGCAGCCGTAGGTTGGCAACCCAATTTATGCTAAAAAATAATATCTCCAAGAGCACAGAAAAGTCTCCCAATAGTCTCCTTTTCCCAAAAATAGTTTCTTTTTCAGCCTTTTCAAGCAAAAAAAGTTGCCATAGTTGTATCAGGCCAAAAATAGTTGCAAATAACCGCATTTTAGTCTGCATTAATTTAAAAATGGTTTAATAAGAGTGAGGAAAATACTCATAAAAAGAAAAAGTCGAGTTAAAAAAAATACAGTTTAGTTTTAAAGCTTTTCATTATTATTAAAATAACCGAAAAAATATAAGTTAAGATGTATTTTTTCAAGAAATAACAACGAATATATCCAGGATGCGTAGCCAAATCTTTGACATAAAATAGCACCTTTTAAGTACTTTTGTAGCACTCAAAAAATATTTTGAAGCACTATACATTAACAAAATGCAAAAAAGTTTTCAAAGACTTTACATGATCATGATAAAGTAACTAGTTTCTGACAAAGAACTCTTTCCTTGATTATTTTAGCCACCATAAAAAGATCAAGAGAATTTCGGGTTCGATTTCAGACTATGAAAAACGAAATTGAGAATATCTTGCAAAATGCAGCAGAGTTGCACATGACAGTGCTAGAATCTCACTGCACTCAGCTCAGTAAGCGCACATGTGGATTTGCACGCATTTCATCAAACATGTAAAATGATTGGTGCTTTCATACGCTATGAACTGATGGTTCCCCGAAATGGATTGTGATTTAATGAATTGTGAAAATGTTGAATAGAACAATGTGAACAGTACGCTTTTGCATTATACAAGTTGAAAATCGACATGGTAAAGGAAAAAATCTCATTTTCAAAAAGAGAAAATGAAACACTTTTTAAAAGCACCCAATAAAAAAAAAGCACCTTTAAGATCTTTCAAAAAATGAAAATTGTTTTAAATAATAGGAAAAAAACTTACCCTATCATCTGCCCTAAGATTTCTTATTTTATTTCTTAATTGGAATCTTAAGAAATTATTAGTGCCAATAGGTTGAAGCTCCAAAAGTCTACATAGAGCAATAAGTTGAGGCCTGCTCAGGTTTTCCAGAGTCACTTCATCTTCAAAAAGCTTTGAGAATTTTAAAATTTCTACATTGGTTGCTTGTTCACCGGTACTTCGAATCTTGTCAAAAAAAGTGACAAATTCTTTTGCTGTGTCTGAATGGGAATCCCCTTTAGAAGACACTGCCAGTTCATCCAAGGTATCTTGTAAAAACTTAGCCATTTCAATTTTCATTCTCAAATTCTTTTTAAACTTCAACTCCTTCATAAGAAAAAAATATACATAAATAATACAACACTTATTTTACAAAACAATTCGATAATAAAAAGTGGAACTTGTAAATTAAAATAACCCTGCAACTCACTGTGGCCGACGCAAGCTGGGTGTGGAATTCGTATCAACTAGCCATTGCCGCGATTTGAATCCGGCTCACCTCACCGGAAGACGAGCACTTCACCCCCTGAGCTGAAATGGTTTTTGTCAGTAACAAAAGTTGCCTTTTCCCCTTCCTTCCACCACGGTTTATATTTTAATCTTATAACCTTTGTTGAACAGCTGACTTAATTTTTTTTGTTTATGACTACTAATGTTCAACTCCTAGAAATCTGCCTACGTGGAGAACTTTTTGATGGGACTAACCCGCATTTGCGTTACATAAAGAGGAAATCATGAAAACTTCCCATGGTTAGTCTGATGGCAAAGGGACTCTAACCCATGATCCATCTACCACCATACCTGCCAATGTGGTACAAATAAAATAACAGAGATTTTACTAGCAACATTTTTTAGGCTACGAATAAAGTTTTGATACATTATGCAAAATCACGTAAGTCAAAAAGATGCATAGAAATCCTATTCTAAAGAAGATTTTTTAAAACCATTATTTATAATTACGTCATCTATAAACACTCAACATACTGCACTACTGGCAATAGCACCATCTGTTGAGGAATAAGAGAAGTATTTTTGCTATCAACCAGTGTTTTCACTACAGCGCGAGAAAGCGAGAATCTCGCATATTTTTCTACTTCTCGCATTAAAAAATAATTACCGCGAGAAATTAGCTCATTCTATAAATCAATTTCAAAATTCGCGAATTTCTCACATTTTGGAAAAAGCTTTGAATTACGCCATTTAGAATAAAATCCGTTTCACTTTTCCTCCTGGATCTTTCATTATTTTCAACATCTGCCCCGTTATCTAGCTTCCCTATTTGCGAGTATTGTTCAGAACCTTTTCGAACAACAGAACACAACCCCTCCGAACCACAGAACCCCTTTCAGAACACATTTCTCTGCAACCACCTGTTTACCGTAGNACAATTTAGTTTTAAAGCTTTTCATTATTATTAAAATAACTGATGAAAAAATATAAGATAAGATGCATTTTTTCAAAAAGTAAAAACAAATATATACAGGGTGCGTAGCCAAATCTTTTGATAAAAAATAGCACCTTTTAAGTACTTTTTAAGCACTCAAAAAATACTTTGATGCACTATATACATTAACAAAATGCAAAAAGTTTTCAAAGACTTAACATGATCGTGATAAAGTAACTAGTTTCTGACAAAGAACTCTTTTCTTGATTATATTAGCCACTATAAAAAGATCGAGAGAACTTCGTGTCAGATTTCAGAGAGTCAAAAACGAAATTGGGAATATCTTGCAAAATGCACATGACATGAGTTGCACATGAGAGTGCTAGAATCTCACTGCACTCAGCTCAGTAGACGCACATGTGGATTAGCAAGTATTTCATCAAACATGTAAAATGATTGGTGCTTTCGTACGCTATGGACTGAAGGTCCGCCGAAATGGATTGTGATTGAATGAATTGTGAAAATGTTGAATAGAACAATGTGAACAGCACGCTTTTGCACAATACAAGTTAAAAATCGACAAGGTAAAGGAAAAAATCTCATTTTCAAAAAGGGAAAATTAAATACTTTCTAAAAACATCCAATAAAAAAAGCACCTTTGAGATATTTTAAAAAATGAAAATAATTTTAAATGGTAGGAAAAAAACTTACCTGATCATCTGCTCTAAGATTTCTTATTTTATTTCTTAATTGGAATCTTAAGAAATTATTAGTGCCAATAGGTTGAAGCTCCAAAAGTCGACATAGAGCAATAAGTTGAGGCCTGCTCAGGTTTTCCAGAGTCACTTCATCCTCAAAAAGCTTTGAGAATTTTAAAATTTCCACATTGGTTGCTTGTTCACCGGTACTTCGAATCTTTTCAAAAAAAATTACGAAATCTTTTGCTGTGTCTGAATGGGAATCCCCTTTAGAAGAGACTGCCAGTTCTTCCAAGGTATCTTGCAAAAACTTAGCCATTTCAATTTTCATTCTCAAATTCTTTTTAAACTTCAACTCCTTTATAAGAAAAAAAATGAATACAGCACTTATTTTACAAATCAATTCGATAATAAAAAGTGGAACTTTACACTTTATTTTATAACCGTCGTTGAACAACCGACCCAATTTTGGGTTTACAACTACTAATATTCAACTCTGTAGCCTTGCAATTTTAAACCAATCCAGAAGACAATGAAACTCCTAGATCAGTACCTCCAGAGGTATGATTTGTTATGGGAACATGGAGGTACTTTGAAAATCGACTGATTTAGCGTGCATCAGTCACCATTTACTACATCGGGAGTCTTCAGCCAGGGAGGATCGAACCCACGACCTCTTTGACATGGACCCAGTGTCCTACCAACGAGGCTATCCTGGCCCAAAGAGTGGAAATTATAAATTAAAATAACCTTGTAATTCACTGTGGTCAGCGTAAGCTGGATGCGGAATTCGTAGCGACTATCCATCGTCGGAATTTGAACCCGTTTCAATACATCGGAAGGCGAACACTCTACCCCCTGAGCCACCACGGTTTTTGTCAGTAAAAAAGGTTGCTTTTTCTCTTTCCTTCCAATATGGTTTATATTTTTTAATTATAACCCCTGTAGCAGAATTTTTTTAGGCCTTCTGCGACAAATCTCTTCAGCATTAATATCTTTCTGCAAGATACTTTTAATAATAAATATATATGTTACTAATTTAAAGTAACAAAAGCGTCAACTTCAAAAAAAAAACTTTTCGGAGAAAATTATTTAATTTTTAAAACTGAATATGTAATATTTTTATTTTATTATTATGAGCTATATTCTCGCATTTTGTAGGGAGAAAATGCACTAATTATTTTCCTTTTCTTTCTTCATAAGTCATCATCAAATTTAAAAACAAATTAAAAATAGTGAAATCCATAGCAGTAACTAACGAAAGAAGAAAAAAAGATCGACGGCGAAATCACGCCAAATCGAACTCTTTAAAAAAGGGGGTTACAAATGCGTGTCTTCATTTCAAGATTCAGCTGCTGTAATAAATAATATTAAAAATATCGGATTTTAAAAACTAAGTGGAAATCAATAGCAATAACTGTCCGGAAAAAAAATAATAACGGATATTGCAGCAGAAAAGAAAACCTAACTTTTTACTTCATTATTCTCAAATGAAAATAGAAAAATTACAAGCCTTTTTTTTCCCCTCCGATACATAAGAATAGCATCTAATTTTGAATATAATTCTGAATAGAAGATAGAAGCTTTTGAACATTTCTGCAGAAAAGAAAACCAAAATTTTTTACTTCCCAAATGGAAAATCTTTCTGCAAGAACTCAGTTACAATGTCGCCACGATTCTGCCACAGGGATTATAACCTTTGTTGAACAGTTGACCTAACTTTTTGGGTTTACAACTACTAATGTTCAACTCTGAGATATTTGACTTTTTGATAGAAGTAACCCGCTTTTACGTTACATGAAGAGAAAAAACTAGCAAAACCTCCCAAGGTTAGCCCGATGGTAAAGGGACTCTAGCAAGTCGGATGCGGAATTCATATCGACCAGCCATTGCTGGAATTCGAACTCAATTCACCTCACTGGAAGTCAAATACTCCATCCCCAGAGTCATCAATACTCAAAATTCTGCCTTGTAATAAATAATGTCGTTTCAAAAATATTGAGGTTTTCAAAATTTATATCAGGATTGGTTTCTTCTGAAAAAAATCTATTTCTTCCAGGACAAAGAAAAAATTTGAAGAAACTGAAACAAAATAGACAAACTGGAAGAAACCAAAACTTACTTATCCGATTGTTACACAAAAACTTATAAATGAAGAGTTTAAATTTTATAAAATTTATTTCAGTGCAAAAAAGTTAAAATTTTTGGCATTTAAACTTAAAAAAAATAAACTGCAGTGAAACCGCCAGGACAACCTATTTAATTTACAATCACGTTTAAGAGGCACAGAACTTTTTTCATGAAGCTTATGTTGAAGAAAATCTTTAGCAGAGACCATTAACTCCAAACATACCAACACTTAATAGATAGCTATTTCTACCATAGCCAGTCTCTATGTTTCTTGACTGAAAGCATGAAATATGGATGTTAGAAAAGAACCAAACTAAAAAAACTTTATTATAATCAAATAAAATTGCAAATTGCCAATTTTTATGTACTACAAACAGAAAGAATAAGAATTTTTAATTCATTGCTCAATGCATTTTTTACATATACAGGGTGCTTCCATTGCACATTTTCCGCAAACATATTTCTTCTAATAATTATTTCTATGATTCTTATAATTATAAGCCGATATTATATTATATAATTATAATAATATGTAAGAATTATAATGTCCAGGAAATTGCAGGTTCGATCCCAGCCAGCCGAAGACTCCCCCCTGTAGTAAATAGTGACTGGTGCACGTTAAATTTGTCGAGTTGCAAAGTCCTCCATGTTCCCATAACAAATCAATACCTCTGGGGGTACTGATTTAGGAGTTTCCTTGTCTTTTGGGTTGAGTTCAAAATTGCTAGGCTACGGAGTTGAATATTAGTAGTCGTAAACCCAAAAATTGGGTTGGCCGTTCAACGACGGATATAAAACAAAACAAAAAACTCACACATTGAATACCAGAAATACATTTTGTTCACTAATAGATATAAAAAAGAAAGTTAACTTACAGTTGCAGATTTGTGTTGAAATGTTGATGGCAGCATGGAAGGAAAAAACTTTAAAAACACAGGAAGTAAGAGCTCCATGAAAGGTACAATAATAAATATAGAGAATGGCACCAATCTGAATAGATCAGAAACTGTACGAACGAGCTGCTTGTGTTCCCTGCGGGTCAAATCTTTACCCCTCAATATTTTCCAGGCTAATCGTGATGAAACTCTGATATCGATGAAAAGTAGACGAAACCCGTGATAATAATGGACAATTTCATCCCAAATTCTCTTACCCAAAGACCGTTTCGGACTTAGAGCGTCTGCAGGTTTTAATATAAGTTCTTCTTTCTTCTTTACTTCTCCCTTAAGATTTTTAACTGTTTCTTCAACTTTTGAGAGCTCCTTAGGGTTTTTTAAATTCGTAGAAGTGTGCAATTGTCTGACTCCGGCATCAGTCAAGTGCGGTATACTAAATAAATTAGAATAAGGCTTTTTAAAATAAATACTATTATATTTTGAATAATTATTGGGCAGCAAAACAACAGGTTGGAAAAAAGAAGAAACAGGATAAGCACTCCTCAAAATGTTGCAGCTGCATTGAAAAATCCTTTTATGTTGCATCTTATATATACCTAAAAAAAGACAAATATGGAATTGTAAGTATAAGATTTAAACAAAAAAAAAGTATTTGCTTACGCTGTGAAAATAATATAAATACAGGGTATCTGCTACATTTTAGATTTTCAAATTCATGACTTTCCATGACTAATTCCTAGAATTTTTCATGACTTAACGAAGTTACTATTTTCTCTGACAAAAAAAAACAAGACATTTAAAAAAGCATTATAATAACATAAATTGAAATGATAGGTATAACCAAAACTGTTATACTCTGCATTGTCATATTTAAAGATTTTAAATTTAAAAAAAACAGAGTAAAAAAAGAGTTGAAGCAATAAAATAGCTGAAAAAAATACAAAAGCAAATATATTTTTTTCAGCAGAATTATATTCTAAAGATACTTTTCTTGTTCATCCGAAAGGAAAGAAATACTTCTGATTTTTCTGTTCTCATTTAGGAATTTAAAAAAATTCGTCAATGACTGGCTTGCTTCAGCAAGAATTTTAAATTGATAAAATAAATATAAATAATAAAAAAAATTCTGAAATCACAGAAGTTTAAAAGATAATTCGCTCNCTAGGATAAAAACAGATCACACGGTAGTTTATTACATAACAGAAGATTATTACAATTCATCCACACATTTAAATAATTGCAAACCATAAAATAAAGCTCTGAAATTTATTAAGTCAAGAATGAAGTCTCTAAAGTGCAAAAATGAAATTTCAACTTTGCATATTACCTATCAGAAATTAAGTGCATAATTCAGGAACAGGCAAAAGTGAGAATAAATCAAGTGAAAAAATAAATTAACACCAACTTGGATTTTTATTTAATTTTTACCTTCTTAATCAAAACTTTATTATTACCCTTTACTTTACTTTATTAAGAAAAACTAGTGTGATATTATTAGATTTCAAATCAGCAATTTATATTAGAAGTTAGAGAAAAACAAATTAATCATGATCATTTTTCCAATACATTCTTGATATAATTTGTGAGATTCTTCTACTGCCCTCAATAGTGTTGTGGTGATCTTCAACACTCCTCCATAATTTCGAATGGTATCTTTGATTAGTCTAAGAGACATAATAGTATTCTCATGGTGACTCACATTAAGCATTGCTTTATTTATCGAAAAACCTCTCTCAGGATCAGAATTCCCATGTGGCAAAATTAAAACAGTTTTAATTAATGTAGCTAAATTCTTATATTTTAGATTATTGCTTTTTTATTTACATTTAACCTATAACTCTAATTTTTTAGGAACACCAACAAAATTTTATCAGATTTTTAGGAATTTTAGGGTTTGCATATACTTTTAGGAATTTTATGAATTTTAGGGTGAATGCGACCCCTGAAAATAATATAAATATCTTTAACTGGTGCTCTGCCTAAGTATTTTTTTCACACCCTGCTTGCTCTCTGATCTCAATAAATGTACACTATTTGCCCTTTTTGTAAAAATAAGCCACCATCCCTTAAAAAGACAGCCTTTTAATTCAGATTCCATTTTGAAAAAAAATTATTCATTGTGTAATAGTTTTAAGCACTAATTACACTCTTTTCCATTAAAAATATTTACTTTGTTAGAATTATTCTCAACTGGTTAAATTTTTATAAGTATCGTCTTTCAGGGAAAGAATTTCTTCAGGAAAGGTGATTTGAAATTTTAAAACTATTTTTTAAAATAAATACCTTTTTTTCTACAAAAAAAACATCTTTAAATGTTTATTTTCTCACCATTTTCAGTTTAAAAAACAGAAAAAACTTTCAAAATGTTTATCAAGTAATCATTATTTGCGAGTTTACTTTTTTTGGGAGAAAAAAATATTCACAGAGATTGCCTTATGGTGAAGTGGGAAGAAAAAAAGTGGAAGAATCATCACATTAAAAGTAAATAAACGAAATGTGCAATTCAAACTTTGTGCGTCATAATAATATTTTTTTTTAAATGCAAATCCATAATCCAATAATTGCTATAAAATTTTCAAACAATACATATGTTTACGATGTGTAATATTATTTGTTAACTACTATGGTACTATAATAATTAAATACTAAGTATGCTAACACACAAACATTGACGACATTAGACAAACTGAACTTCGATTCACAAACTGAGAATTTACTAATTACAGGGTTGCCACTCAAATCAGGAAAAAAAATTCCAGTACATACTATACACAATATATTAAGAGGAAGCACAACAATTACTGTGTTCTTATGTGAGCAACATTGGGCTAACTATATTAGTTTTTATTGCTGGAAAAAAAAAGGCAGGGGTCTGTCCAGACATTTTGTGAAAGGTCCGTTCTTGTAAAATTGTGAAAAAATTACTCGTAATTTGTGAATATAAAATAAACGTTAAGTCACATTCTTTCAACCAGGGTCCGCTTTTGTGAATTTGTGCAAATAGGGTCCGTTATTGCAAAAAAACTTTTTCAAGGAGTTTTTAAATTGTAAAGACATACAAGATTATGCTCAACACTGTAAAATTATAATTAAAAAAATAATAATTAAAAAAATAATAATTAAAAAAATAATAATTAAAAAAATTAAATTTAAAAAAATAAACAGCAATTGCTGCTACTAAATTAGAGATGCAACATACAAATATTTGGTATTTAGCCTATACTGCTGAACGCAGGATATTCATTTTGGACGAATAAAGGAAGAAGCGTCTGTCGAAGACAAAAGTTAGTGCGTTTACATGTCTTTCTTTCCGCTCCTTCCTGGGAAGGGTTTATTTGATGATTAACAAAACAATAATGAAGATTAACAAATTTGTGAAGGGTCCGATTAAAAGATAAATTATTTTGTGAAAGGTCCCTCTTTAAATTAAAAAATTTTGTGAAGGGTTCGTTTTAATGAAAAGGTATTTTGTGAAGGGTCCGTTAACGGACCCAAATTTCTTCTAAACAGACCCCTGAGAGGGAACAGATGAACATACTTAAATAATGCTATAGTAAATTAAATAGTTTAGTATAGCTGAAATCCCATAAGCAGAATATTTTCAAATGTTCTGCAACAGGACTTATTAATTTATACAAATGTTCTGCAAGCATTTCACAGCGAAAAAAAAGTCAACTTTATGTTAAAATACTATATTTTCATTTACAAAATAAACTACATTATTTTTTCAACCAAGGAAAACATTCTTGATTTGTTACTTTTTCAATCACTTTTGAAGTACAAAATTTTGTTAATGACGATGATGAATTATTAATAAAATGCCTATGATATGAAGGTCCGAAAATTAAAATAAGGGCTGCCTTAAAAATCCTTCTAAGGGACAAGTGCCCAGATGGTGCACTATTTGCAAACACAAACATTCGCTGGTCTGTTGTTCCAACAACTTCTTCATCTTCATCGAAAGCATTTGGTCGTTTCGAAAGAATTCTGTCAATCGTGGATCCCCACTATTCACAAATTGCTTCTGAAGTGGGAATGGAAAATATAAAGTCGTAAACTATATGAAATTGGAAATCTCTGAATTTAATTCTTTTACTCTCTTGATACAAATGGTGACGAATTTCTCCTGCTGTCTGTTAAAACCTGATACACCCATTTTATAAAAATGTTATAGCTAAAAGCTAATTCATTAATTTCCTCCTCGGAATGGCAAAGATATGGGAGAGGGAGATTACTGATAAATGTGCTGAAATTTGCGCAGGGTGTCAAATGTTCCTCTTCTAAAGCAACATCATGTTCCTCTTCTAAAGCACTTTCTGCTTCTGGGGCTGAAATATCCTTAAATATCCCAATGAGTGGTCACCTTTTTTTTAAAAGACGAAAATAAGAAACAAAATGCCCTGTATTCCTCCAGTTCGTGAAGAAAGAATTAAAATCTCGTTATTTTAGATGATTTTTAAAGTCCCTGTATTTTACAGGTTTTCCCCGTGAAGAGACAACCCTGTATTAGATGTAGCTGAAACACAATAAGGAATAATGAAGTTCCAGATGTCATATGAAACGACAGAATGGCACGTGCTGTGAGCAGCAAAGTGAACGACTCAAATGTGCCATTTAAAGTTATTATGTACATAACATGTATAAATTATTGAATAGATTTTATTTTTACCAAACAAAAAAAGAAGGGACAAATATATTACTATGATTTGTTAATTATTTTGCTACAAATATGATTTTGTAACAAAATCTCCACTTACAGTCCTATTTTATTAAAATGTTTATAAAAGTAACATCTAAACAAAATACCTAAAAAAATATAAGTCTGAACACCTTATTATTATCAAAAGCCTCATAACCAAGTGTTATATGTACAAATGAAATAGCATATGGTAATTTGTACAAAGGTCATTAAAATGGAAAAGTCACTGTCACGGGTCTGTCCGGGACAAATTTACTACCGTTTAGCGGTACCTTCACAGATTCAACTTCAGGATAAACGGTAGTTTCACAAAATACTTTTTCTTAAAATGTTACTTTTGTATCGCATAAAAAACAATAAATCCATATTTTTGTGTTGACTTTTTAATATAATTTTTAATTTTCACAAATTATGTCTAAATTTTCTCAAAATAGGTACCTCTCAGAAAAACCTAGACAGACCCCTGATTGTAGTGACGAATGTTACTAAAAAGCGTTGACTGTTTCAGAAATAAAAATAATTTACGAATATTGGTACAACTTTAATGTGAAAAAACAAAAATTAATAAAATGCCTGCATGATATTTATATTTAAAACAGTTAAAATATAAATAACTAAATTTTACAAAAATACATCTAGCAATAAATAGTAGCTGGAAATAACTGTTATACAATTTTAAAAAATTGAATAACGTACATAAAAAGAAATTCGTTATAAGAATGAAGTGATAAAGGAATAAGGAAATCCAGCTTGAGTTGAGAATTTTTTGAATATGAAAAATGTTCGGCTGAACTTTAAATAAGCTTTTTTTGCATAATAACTAGTTACTAAATGTATTACTAATATTGACTTTAAGTATCATATTTGAATACAACTTATCAATGTATTTCCCTAATAGATTTAATTTTTTATTTCACGGAACTTAAGGAACAGGTAAAGATTCTATTTTTGGTAAAATCAATGACTTAATATTTCCTATAATGAATTTAAAAAAAGATTTTAATCACATTGAGAAACTTACTATGAGAATTTTCACAAATCAGATGATGAAATATATGAGTACTACGACATAATCACTAACACGAGTTGAATGTGTGTTTTATAAACATTAACTAATAAGAAGAGTACATGTTACAATGTGTGTTCTCCGAGAAACTGCAATATAGTAACATACATTAAACCATTTAAACCAATCAGTTGATCCCAATACAATACGAACTCTAACGTTTTAAAAGTTCGGAGTACTTATCCCTAGTATTTTATCAAAAAATCTATTGATTGATTGTTTAAGTTGTTGATGGAATGATTAGCGGTTTGAAAAAAAAAAACTTAAGTAAACAGTTAGGAATTAGCTTATAGCTTTATGCTGATTTTGAGCAAAGAAATCCAGGACTTGGCTTAGCAGCCGCTGCTAATAACTAAGTCCCGCAGTGGACTGATCGTTAAGACACGGTTCCCAGCAGATCACCGAAGTCAAGCATCACTGGCTACGGTCAGTGTGCGGGTGGGTGACCATTTGGATCAGCCTACGTCGGGACCGAGGGTGTGCGGTATTGGTCCTCGTTAAACTGTTCTACCGTAAAGTCGCGTGCTGGTCGTCGGGCTACCGAATCGGAGGTGCCATCCCCTCTGCAGAGGATCAAAATTGTGATGGCATGTCTTCGGTCCATCCTCAGGGAAGTTTTCCAGACCGTCGCTAATAGCCCATTGTGCAGCTCTGACGTAAATGAGCAACACAACAGCAGCAAATAACTAAATTAATAAAACAATTTACACAAGGCCTAGCATCAGGCTCTTAGCATCACAAGAGGAACAAAAGCCTGATTTTTTACCTGCGATTATTTTGCTTTCAGGTAAATATCGCCATGCTGAAATATTTTACCAGCTGCTGCTGTTCTCATTTCAACCCAAATCGGAGAAAGCCAAGTTTTGCATAATCAAAGTAATTTTGACAAAATATGGGCTCGAATAAGCACTTCCTAGAAGTGGGAAGGTGTCTGCACGTATCGACTAGGTAGTCCGAAGACTTAATGAACATAAACTGCACAGTAGTGGTCTCGGACTACTAAAGGATCAGATTTCTCGTTTATGGTAACACGTCTGGAGGCTTTACAGAGATAATATTAATTTTAAGAAACCAATATGATCTGAAAATTAATCTATAATATTCGGTAAGTGAGAATTTCTGCATTTCTAATCAATTATATGCGCTTTTGAAATGAATCCCCCAATTCTTTAATATTTATGAGAAAAAATTTAGGTATGAAGTTTAAGCAATGTCCTTTTTCATAGTGCCTTCAATTTTGCACAGTTACAATAAATTGGAATTTTAAGATCTTTTAATTAAATAAATAGATTTTAATTCGACAAAAAAAGCGAACCAAAAAATATTTATATGCAAAAAAAAAGTTAATTTATATAATTATTTATAAATGGAAGCATTTGCTCAATTCTTTGCAGTATTGTTTTCCCTTTTACATCGGTGTTAGAGATATTAATTTAAAACTCACGCCAGAGTTGCTCAAATGAGAAATGTGCCTCAAAATTTGACACTTACAATATTCCCTACTTAATTCAAAAAGAAGAATGCCTCCGATACTCACAAGTGTGACCAATGAAGTCATTGCCAGCTGATCTTGGAAGGAAAATGGCTGGTAAAATTTGAGCGAAACTTCTCCGCATAAGTTAAAATGATAATTAAAGTGAAGTAAATTAAATGCAGAACCGTATCACACATCGAATAAGTTGAAATATAATTAATTCTTGTCTACATCCTTTACTTAACTGAATTAATTACTTGTTCATGTATTTCATTGCAACCGCGATATATTTCGTGTACCAGACAATTTCGATGCATAATTAGTTTTTTTCTGCTCTACATGACTTCATGCCTCTCTTTGTATTAAGCCTCAGTATAAATACATAGTGAAAAAAAATTTAAATATTTGAGAAAGAATCTTTGTACAAGAATTTTGAATGTGTCACTTAAGAGAATTGATACTCACTGGCTTGGCTTACTCGAAATAGAATGGAAAGAACAGTTTCTATCGTAAAACAAGTGCCACGTATCAACAACCAATCAGGATCGAGATACCCACACTATGTCACTTGCAGGTATAGCATTAAAGCTGGAATATGCTCAGTTTTATTAGAATATCTGGATAGGTAAGGCGTGTTTTTTTTCCAGCAGTAAATAGGAAACATAATTTCCCTAAGGAAAAATCTAAAGATCTTAACAAAACAACCAAAAACATCAAATTTTCTTTCGAAACTGGACCCCCTCCTGCACCCAACATTTCAACAACAATTTTTCATGAATGATTTCCTTATCAACGAGCTTCAAGCATCATATCGGTGAGCTGAGAACCTTTGATTTCATGATCACATTCTGTTACGGATGTGAGATACGGTAAAATAAATCTTTTTATGTTCAATTCATTGCAAATTAAAATTAAGACTTTTAATTCCCTTGCCTACTTCGTTGCAATTAACAATTGGGGTTTTAGAACGAGCAGAACTGTAACAGTTCTAGAATATTCTTCTTCCTTATTAAGTAATATATATTTTTAAATAGATATCATTCGGAAAACAACAATAAAGGATCACCAAAGTTACTTGAAATGATATCATTTGTGTTTATCATTAATACATTTTTAATATTTTCTCAGTAAGTAATTTTTAATTTCGAATGTTGTTGTTCATTTACGTCACACTAGAGCTGCACAATGGGCTATTGGCGACGGTCTGGGAAACATCCCTGAGGATGATCCGAAGACATGCCATCACAATTTTGATCCTCTGCGGAGGGGATGGCACCCCCGCTTCGGTAGCCCGACGACCTGCACGCGAAGTTGAGCACCTTACGGTAGCACAGTTTAACGAGGACCCGTACCGCACACCCTCGGTCCCTACGCAGGCTGATCCAAGTGGTCACCCACCCGCACACTGACCGTAGCCAGTGATGCTTGACTTCGGTGACCTGCTGGGAACCGTGTCTTAACGATCAGTCCACTGCGGGACTAATTTCGAATGATTAATTTAAATTAGAACTCAGTTATTCTGTTTTTAAGATATTTATTTAAATTCATATCGGGACCTAACAAATATAAAATTTTATAGTATGATATGTCATCTTAAAGTTATGAAATGATAATCTAAATCATTTGAGAATAAATTTTTTAAATCAGAAAATATTTTATTTTGGGATTATCCAAATTTAATGAAGCAAGTAAGTGTTATGATTTTATAAAAAAAAACGTACTTGAAAATAATTTTTTTTTAATCTATAGTTCGATGATAATTGTATACAGAATGGTTTTACGCGTCTGACTTAGAACTTTAAGATCAAAGGAAAAAATTAACTATTAATAATTCATAAATACATTTTTTTTTTATCCAAAATTAAAATTCGATAAAAATTATTGCCAAAGAACTTGCTCTGCAAAATCGTGCAACATTATATGTTTCTGTATAAAGCTTGAAATAATTTGATTTTAAAAATTATGGGATGTAAAGTTTAAATAGAGTCTTCATATTAGGTCACTAAAATTAGTAAGTAAACCAATTTATTAAAGATTAGAATTTTTGTCTAATAAGAATATAGGTACATATTTATTTTTCTGTTCATTCATTTAGATATAATCTTTCAATGTGTTTTGGATGTTCCTTCTTTAAAATAAAGAGTTCACATTTTGCGTTCAGCGGCATCAGAGACAATATCAAAATTTTGTTTTGCAAATTTAATTAGTCACAATAAGGAAGGGCTGTAACTATGCCCTTCTGAAGAAATCTCCAGAGGAACTGAACATGTTGTTCTGCTAGCAGCGATTCGCCTCAAATCACAACGCACCCAATAGGACGTTGCACTCGTAAAGAATTGAAAAAAACTTATCATGGTAAACAAAATAATTTTGGTAAATTTCAAATCGAAAAAAAAAGGTAGGTATTTATTTGCGTCTCACTAGATCTGCACAATGGGCTATTGGCGATTGTGTGGGAAACATCCCTGAGGACGATCAGATAACATGCAATGGCAAATTTTGATCCTCTGCAGAGGTGATGGTCCCCCTGCTTTGATAGCTCGAAGACCTGCGAGTGAAGTTGAACATTTTACGGTAGAACATTATAACGAGGACCGATAACGCACATCCTCGGTTCCAAAGCAGGCTGATCAAATTGGTCACTCACCTGAATACTGACTGTATCCAGTGATGCTTGACTTCGGTCTTTTACTTGGAACCGTGTCTTTACGATCAGTTCACTGTAGGACTGAAAAAAAGAAGAAAGAATTTAAAAAAAAAATGCTGCAATGGATATTTGCAACAATAAGAGCTGTTAATAATATAAAAAAGGAAATAAATAAAAAGGAAATATATAAAAAATACGAAAGAAAATATTTTTTTAAAGAATCGTTCCACTTTCAGTACTTGTAATGGAAGGGCTACAACAACAAATGATGGAACAGGTGCTTATTAACAGAAAACCATAAAATGCCAAAAAGAAGTCAAGGTAGCCAAATCTAGTAAGCATGTATAACGATTAAGCGATAACGATGATGAAAGTAGCCAATAAGATTTTTCCATTACCTATCAACTGCTAAGCAGCAACTGCTAAGCAATGTCCCTTAAAAGAAAGGGTAATTGTTTCGATCTTTGGAGATGGTCTTTAACTTCACCTTCTCTTCTAATCGTTTCATTTAATATTAAAAACTGAATTTTTCTGAGTGCAGGAAGAAAAATTTTGTAACAGAAAAAAAATCGAAATATTTTATTAAATATTGGGGGTAGGGGACATCAACAACGCCATCTTGCTTCCCCTCCAAACTATCCTAGAGGTGGAGTTCAAGTACAAGCAGTGTAAAATTATCATTTGTATATCCGCATGAAAACTTATTCATTGTCAGATTTATTTAAATTTGTTGATTTAAATATCAAATTGTCGAAGTTCGTAACAAACTAAAGAAGAATGCAAGCTATTAAATGTGTAGTGGTTGGTGACGGGTATGTTGCAAATCTTACCATATAAAGACGTATTTGTGTCTGCTTAATTAGTTTCATAATTTCAGTTTTATTTCCAAACGGAACTAACACTTTTTTCTTAATTACTCTTTATGATAGTGGAATTTGCTGTGCATATTGATCTCTTGTTTAATTACTTAATCAGATTGTAAATGTTTTTTATCAATTGTTGACTTAATACTTTCAGATGGACTGATGTCAAAATTCACCTGTGATTGTTTGTATTGTAAAAGATCGATTTTTACAAATATAATGTTCATTATTAATTCACAATCGATTTTTATATGTAAAATGTTCTTTATTGGCTTGGCTTACAAGAAAAGTAGATTGATTTCAATTTAAATGGTTATTTGAAATGGATTTATTTATTTCGAAACAGTTGATAAGTTTCCAAATGCTATCTTTTCCGCTAGAGTCAATATCCATTCTGTGTCGTTATTTTTTTTAACACTTAAAAACAAATCAATAATGTGAGAATAATTTAAATAATTTTTTAAATTATATTGAATATTAGTGGCTTTATGAATTTAACAGAGGGACTTTGACATTTGAGTTCTATATTGCATGACTAAATAAGTTGAATTCATGAACAGTATAATTATTTCCTGAAACAGCGATACTTGTGCAAGTTGACCACTTTTGGAAAAACAATTTGATGATTGTAATTTAATTATTATTGCCAGTTTGGTACCTAATCAATAAGATCCACTTTAAGTTGAGATTAAGTTGACTGAGATTCATTGTACTAGTGCTAAGTTGGTTTTTTTTTTAAAAAAGAAGAAAAAAAACTGTAGCTTTAGCAATTCATTATACTCTGTGATGATGTAGATTATATTGAATACTCTTGGAATGTAATGAGGATTATTAACTTTATGAATTCTTTCTGAAGCTTTAAAATTTTTTATTCCTGCAATTAAGTGAGTGGAGCTTATCTGAAATTATAAACAATCAGAGTGTGTACTGTTTTTAAAAAATGCTTAAAGGTGCTTATTTTTGATTTATGTTTTTTAAAAGCCCTTAAAGGTGCTTATTTTCGATTTATGTTTTTTAAAAGCCCTTAAAGGTGCTTTTTTTTTATTCGGGGTTTGTAAAAAGTGCTTAATTTTCTATCTTTTAAAAAGAGATTTTTGCTTTGCTGTGTCGATTGTCGTCATAAATTTTAAAAAAAAGCAAAATTTTTTCTGCCATGTTTATCAGAAACTAGTTATTTCATCATGATTACTTTAAGTTTCTGAAAATATTTTTGAATTTTATTGATTTTATGTTCATAAATTAAGAAATTTAAGTGATACAAAAAAAATTTTTTAATAATAATTTGATCTTGATAAAAACTCCTTTTTAATAAACTTTTATCACAAATTATAAAACTTAATAAAATTTACACTGTTGCTATTTATTTTCTTAATAACCAATTACATTGACAAATTAGTTCGTTTAAAATATGTCTAGATTTTTCATTTATTAAAAAAATATGTCTTTTAAATTTAAACATCTACATTTATAGCAACATGTGTATTTGTTCTAAATTATGATAGGAGTTATGGCAAAAAAAATTTTTAAAATTATTTAATTTATGTATAGGTTTATTTTCAGATGTTTTTCTAATAAATTAAATTTTTCATAGAGTTTTGAAAGGATTTAATCTTTGCTATTTGGTATAATATATTTGATTATATGATTATAAAACCTGAAAACAAAAACTTTCAAATATAAACTGCAAAGATGTAGTATAGGTTGATATGTCAGATATTATAGCAGTGCCGCGAACTCCAACTTTAAATAACCAAAGAGTAACTTTTGACAGTGATATTTTCCTTAACTATTTGTCAAGTTTTTAAGACTTCCCCTCTGTTACAATTCACGTCCCCTCTGTAATAAAAATGTGTTTACAATTTTAAAAGTCTTATAATAATTTATTTTATCTTGAATTGTGATAAGTTAAAAAAATAAATAAATTAGGCCCTAAGGTTAATTTTACCAAAAAAGGGATTTTCCAAATCGCAGAATTTAGCATAAATAACAGTGCTTGTCAAATATGTCGGAGTTTATTTGTCCCCTCAGTTACAAGTAACTTATAATTAATTTGCAATTTAAATATGAAGCTCTTTTATTATTTTATGCCGATTAATAACAATGCACCTAAAGTAGCATATCATTGTAGAATTTTTTGTTTTCAGAAATATTGAATATAATTTTTAGAATAAAATACTTGAGATTTCCCCTCTGTTTCGCTTGAAATTCAATAAAAGTAACAGAAGAATTTTTTGAAAAAAAATATATAATTTTAAGCATTATTATTTAGAAGTATGCAAAAATTACTTAAAATTAATAATTACTCACCTTGCAAAAATTACTTACTTAAAGCAAAGACTTTATTCAATATTTAGCATTTGTTTTCCGTAAAGAATGTGATGAAGTTATATAGCATCAGCGATTGGAGTGAGTTTATTATCTTAAGCGTGGGTGAAAAAACATCTTGCCACAAATTGCAAGTTAGCATTTGAAATGCATCTTTTAAATTTTAAAAGTATACTTATGGGGCTTTTATGGATTGGCTAAAATACTGCTACTGCTTAGACTGCATTTACTTTTATTATTATTTGTTGTTATTGTTGTTTAAAGGCCTGTTTACACGGTCCAAGTTCTTGAATCCGAGAAATTGGAGGGATTTCTCTGTCCAAGAAATTGGATGATTCGTCGACACTATCCAAGTTCTTGAATGTCACTGATTCATCGAAAGAAAAACTTGCGCATACGCATTGTTGATATTCAACATTATAAAATAATGCTTACATAAGTTTAAAATTACTAAATAAATTCAAATAAAATCATAATAACACAAATAAGCCGCAACAAATCAATTTATTTGGACTAAAATATATGAAAACAGACAGCAAAATGACATAATTGCTGCCTGCTTGTTGACGTCACAAAACCTAAGACGCTGATTGGTTAAGGGAGAAAAAACTTGGATGGAAAGTAGAACATGCTCTACTATCGTCCAAGAAGTTGGACCAAGTTCTTGGATGATTGTTTACACGATCCAAGCTCAAGGCAAAACAAGTTTCCATCAATATCAATCAATCTCTGTCCAAGAAATTGGATCGTCTAAACAGGCCTTTATTGTTGTTTTACTGTTATTATTGACTGCCTTCACTATTATTTTTTTTTGTTGAAAAAAATGTTGACGTTTTTTCCTTATATTTTTATTATTAAAATATTCCAGAGCGGTTGGTAAGACCTGTCTCCTCATCAGTTACACAACAAATGCATTTCCTGGAGAATATATACCTACTGTGTAAGTTTTTATTTCTTTTCTTTGTATCATATTTGTTTATTTTAGTTGTTGCTATATATACAGAGATTGAACCTAAAATCAGAAAAATCAAGAGAAATTTTTTTTTTTATAAAAAAAGACGTGGAAGTCAGACAAGGTTGGATGTTTGACAATTTTGATTTTGTTAAAGTTTTCAGGATATACTTTTTATATAAAACTATTAATAGGGTGCATAGCGTTTTTAAAAAGTACTTAAAAATGCTTATTTTCATTTTAGTGTTTTAAAAGCCCTTAAATGTGCTTTTTTCATGGGCTGTTTTTAAAAAGATCAAAAATAAATTGGAAGTCATTATGGAGTAATTCTCAGAGGAAGGCATTGGTCCTTTATTGGGCTGCCTGGTGAACTATGATGATGATGTTTCTAAAAATTACTCTTATGTTCCCTTTTCCAAAATGAGATCATGTCGGTTTTTGTCATGAATTATACCAAAAGCGTTTTTTTCCCCCACACTATTCTATCCCCTGTTTTCACAATTCCTTCAATCACAATAATATTATTAGGATGTGCGCACTAATAAAAAAAATTTCTTCCTATTTTTGAAGGATTATATATATATATGAACTTTCAATAATAGGAAGAAATAATTTTTATTAGTGCTCATATCCTAATTATATTTGGGGGTGATTTCCGTATCATGATCTGTGGCAAAATAATCAAGTTTTGGCAACTTCCTGGCATCATCCCTCGAGAAACAGAAAAAAAGCTATTATAGAAATGAACCTACTTGAGTAGTGGCCACCCCCAGGCAAACATCTATAGGTTTTTTTCTTTTTTTTAAAAAATTTCAAGTTTAAAATCTATTTTTCACCTTGGCATTTGTAGTTGCAACAGATTACAATGCAGAAATATCCCTGCACATATATTTTTTAAAAATAACAAGTTTAAAAATATTTTATGAGTGCTTGAGAGGTGTTTAATTTTTGTTCAAAAATTTGGCTACGTACCCCGATTAATCACAGCTATTTTATTTTAGCAAAAATTTTTTTTGTCTCTTTACTTTTGTTCTAATGACAAGATTTTCACGTACTGATTTTCAAAAGTGTCGATCTTAGTGATTCCTTCAAATATGCTAATTAATTGGTGCAAACTATTAATTAAGTTACGATATCAGACACAAAAACATATATTATTTTTTTTCAACGGATTCAAATCTCTGACTCCTGAAATATAAGGAGCAGCCGCAATCTGGGATATTCGGTCTTAATAATTTGTTCAGGAGAGCGGTTCAAAGTTTGGATCCCTTAATGTTAGTTTCACTTTGTGGGTGTTTCTCCATATCTTGAGAATTTATAAAAAGACTTTAAAAAATTTTGTAGGCATTTATGAATACAAAAAGAATTCCATGCAAAATGTAAGTTTTAGTAAGTATCTTATATTTTTTATTATTTTATTTCATAATAGTCGAAAAAATTTTAATTGTAAGATGTACAATGTTTTACATCATTTTAAAGAATGTAATTTTAAATGGCAAAATACAAGATTTGAGCAAATTCAGATGTATAGTTCGTGAGAAATCGAACTTTGAAAAATTCATGTTTTTAAAATTCGATTTCTTGAACTATTCGTCCAATTCTGCTCAAATTTTGTATTTCGCCATTTAAATTTGCATTTTTTAAAATGATGTAAAAATTTGTGCGCCTTACAATTCAAAATATTTGCAACTATTACAAAATAAAATAATATTTTTTTGCATGAAATTATTTTTCGATAAACGAATCTTATAACTCTGCCATAATTTTACAATTCCCTTGAAAACTTCACGAAATATCGCAAAATATGCATAAAGTGAAATTAACATTAAGGACTCAGAACATTGGGCTTTTCTCCTGATCAAACGACTGGAGCCATACTTCCCAGACTGCAGTTACATAATTTATTATGGGAGTCATAAATCCGAATCCGTAGAGAAAGCGGTATACTTATTCAGGTAATGTGTGTTTTTTTGTTTGATTTCGTAATTTAAAATATCGCCTGCATTAGTTAATTGTCATATTTGAGATAACATCTTTGAACCGTTAAGATTGAGTCCTAGAACGTGAAGATCCAATCATTAGATTGAAAGTTATCTGGGTTGGTCCGTTTTTCTTTTGCGCACAATACCGTTTCAGTGTTCGCTTTATTCAATATTTTCTTTTTCTATTCTAGAACTTCTAGTGAATGTGTTAGTATATAATGTAAATGGTAGCATGCTAATAACAGTAGAAAATGAAATCCTAAATTGAATAAAAGGCAAAAAATATTTAAAAAGGGTTAAAGAGTCTGTAATTTTGTTTTCAACCTAATATTTTTCTAATTCATGCTTCTGTTGTATTTGTTCTTTCAGAGGACATAAAAAAAAAAGAATAATATAGTCAAATGTGCAATATATGCCTGGCTGGGGTAGAAATAAAGAAAATTCTGTCACTGGTCCTTTGAAGCAGTAACTAGCTTGTACACATTTTTACTGATCCATTTACATGTCCTTTTATATTTTTTAAATAAATGTTCATAAAGTTAATTTAAATGAAAATTTGCTATACCGAGAATGTGTAATGTAACTATGAAATATTCAGTTTTGTGACAAGTACACAGATCAAAACACAAAATCAAAAAAACCAAAACTGCTTACATACTCCTTTGCACAAATTTCTAGTCTGGGAAATTTGCTGTTGGTTTATTTTATGGATGTCCTAGTTAAATTTATTAAACCCTGACCAACAAATCACAGTCGATTTAGAGTCCTAAATGGGATTCTGTATTTACTTAATTGAAATTGATGTTTAAGATATGTTTACGTATTGTTTGAAATATTTTCTGTGAAATATTAAACTTTAATGATGTTGCAGCTTTGATAATTATTCTGCCAATGTGATGGTGGATGGCAAACCTATCAATCTAGGTCTCTGGGATACTGCTGGTCAGGAAGATTATGACAGATTAAGACCTCTATCATATCCTCAAACGGTAATTTCAAACTTTATTTCTTTGTTCAACCAATACAAATTAATTTTATACTTCAACTAATAAGTCTGGTTGATTTATCATTCTTATAAAAAAATTTAAATATGAATAAATTTTTTTATTAGATAGGAGAAGATAAATGCCATTGTTTCTGACATTATTCATGCATCCACAATTATATAAATGCTCTCAATTTTTCTTGAGTCATACTGCAGTATAACAACCATGGCAAGCACCATATAACGAACCCATAGCTGTTTTGATTTCTGAATATATATATATACATGTATATTAAATTATATGTTCCTCACTTAAAATTTCAGATACTAATTTTTTTGCTGCGGGACCCATAATTTTCACTTTGGTGTGTCCCTGGAATTCAGATTGACAGTAAATCAGCTGAAGCACTGAGTTCCTATAACCGATAACTACTGAAGAAAATTAAAAATAAATTTCTTGGAATTGAAATATGAATCTATTTAGATGTTTCAGGCATTGCTGGGATTTGAACCAGGTTCGTCTTCAAATGAGGTGAACCGGGTTTAGATTCCAGTGATAGCTGGTTGATAAGAATTTCGTACCCGACTCGCACCAACCACAGTGCTGAGGTAAAATATCCTCAGTGGTAGACTGATCATGGGTTAGAATTTCATTGCCATCAGGCTATCTGTGGGAGGTTTTCACGGTTTTTCTCCGCGTGTGATGCAAATGCGGGTTAGTTCCATTAAAAAGTACTCCATGAAGAGACATTTCTCCATGAAGAGTTCCCTTGTCTTCTGTATTGGTTCAAAATTAAAAGGCTACAGAGTTGAACATTAGTAATCGTAAGCCCGAAAAATTGAGTCGGCTGTTCAACGACTGTTATAAAATTAAAATAAAATCATTTGATTAAGCATTTTGTCAATAATATTCAGTATGAAAAATGTGCTTTGAAGGAGGGGGGGGGGATGTCCTCTCATATTGGTTTTTTCTTGTTACATGACACATTATTAAATCTTACTATTAAAATAAAATAGTAAATAATATTTTCTCCAAACCTCTCGAATTTAAGTATTTCATTTGCAGAATTAAATGTTAACTTGTACTAAGAATAACTAATTGAATTGGCCATTTTATCTTTAGTTTGCCAAAATTGTTAAATATTCCATGTTTGCAAAGTACCATGTCGTAAAGAAATTTGAAAACATTTGTTAAGTTTTGCTTTTAAAGGGGAAATAGCTTAATTAATGTTTAGATAATCTACTCGTTTAAATTTTTCATCAATAATTTAATTGTATTTTTTATGTTAATGATGGTGTAATTTTTCTTGTATAGGATGTATTCCTGATCTGTTTTTCTCTAGTTAATCCAGCTTCATTTGAAAATGTTAGAGCAAAGGTATATTTGTTTTATTAGTTCCCCAATGCTTTTATGTTCATGCATTTGAATATATTTGTCTTGATGCAATCATGATCATTTATATGTCAGTTTGGCTATCATTAATTAAAAATTAACTGAAAATTCTGTAATATGACCCATGAAAATTCACATAACACATGAATTTTAACTTTCGAGAAAGAAAGACATATTTGTAAATTTCAATTGTTTCTCCAAGTCTTTCATAGGTATATGCAAAATTTTAAATATATTTTAAGTAAACTCTGAAATAATGAAAGAGGAAAAAAAAAAGAAAACCTTGTATAAATTTTTCTCTATTTCTTCAATTTAAACTGTTGCTCTTTTTTTTAGGAAAATTATAGTTATATGTTTAAATAATAAAAAATGTGATTAGAGATAAGCGTAAGGTTATTCATAACTACTCATTTAAATTATGCTGCATGTAATTTATAATGAATTTCATATTTTGAAAATATCAAGGATTTCAATTTACAAATACATTAATTTTATGAAATTCTTCAGTAATGATATTATTCGAGAAATTTTCAGGTTTTTTGAGTTTGGCTCACAATTATGTCTGAGAGAGATATATTTTTTTAAAAATTTATTTTAGGAGATATAATTTGAAACAAACAGTAAAAGCAATTTCATTATACAGAGTAATTCGAAATGAACATAGTGATTACTATTTAATGGAAAAAAAATTTGTCGATAAAATTTCCACAGAATGTTTAAGGAACTTCAGAATTTTGTATACGTGTGTCACACATTTACTATGCGACTTCAATTGGTCACACAGACACATCTAGTCGGTAGTCCATTTCACGCCATACATTGTGAAGCATTTGTGCAGTCACCGATGCAAGCTCATTACTCTCATGGCAGAGTTTTTTTGGAGCTATCTGTAAAAAAAACTCTCTAACACTAATATCTTTCTGCAAGATACTTTTAATAATAATAAACATATATGTTACCTATTTAAAATAACAAAAGTACTGTGTTTACAAAACAAGCTATATAATTTTTTTTAATTGAACATTAATAATTTTTTATTCTAATATTATGGGGGATATTCTCGCATTTTGTTGGGAAGGGGGGGGGGGAGCGCAAATTATTTCCTTCTACGTTTTTTGTAAATAATCATCGCAATAAAAAAAATAAAAATAATGAAATCCGTAGTAGTAATTGTTGAAAAAAAGATTGACGAAATCGCACGAATCTGACTTCTCAAATGCATGTTTCGAGATTAGGTTGTTGTAATAAATAATATTGTCTAAAATAAATCAGATTTGAAAACTATGGAGAAATCAATAGAAATATTTGCAAAAAATTCAATAGAATTATTGCCTTAAAAAGTAAATACTCAAATGCACGATTTGAATTTTCCATCATATTGTTTGAAATATATCAGGGTATTTAAAATCCAGGTGAAAATCAATAAATGCCAAAAATGTAATCAAAACATTACATTAATTTAAGATACTATCGGCATAAATTGACCGTATCAAAAAGTGATTATCTAAATGCATTATTCAAATATTAGGTGTAAATTTCTGTTGTAAAGAAAAGTAATTTTTTTAATAACTTTTTTCAAAAGAAAAATATTTCTGCAAACGTTCTTCAACAATATCCCCGCGTCGCTGCGATCCTGCCATATGGCCATTACCAATGCATTCTTTGAATTCTTCAATTGTTTTGGGCATGGGAGGCACATACAATTGTAATACTGGCAAAATCTTCTCTGCACTGTGATAACAGAATGACAGTTGTTACATTCTACCGCGCAGAATGTTCATTAGTGAACTCTCCATTTTCACTAATGAACTCACATGATCATGGCTTCAGGATCCTGCTTCACTGTACCTTAATTAAAGAAATTTTGAAGTTCCATCTACATTCTATGTTAATTTTATCGATACATTATTTTTCATTATATAGTTACAGCTGTTTGTAATCGCTACATACCTGCCAAATCTCCTGTTTTTTTAACGAAGACTCCTGTATTTTACTTAATGTAATCTTTTCCAATTTTGACTTATGATTATACATGATGTATCAAAACTTTACCTGTAGCTTTAAAAATGTTACTAGTAATATCTCCGTTATTTTATTCCCCCAATGTTGGGAGGTATGATTATGTAACAATTATACAGTCGAACCCCGCTATAGTGAACCTGGGATATAGTGAACACTCGGATGTAGTGAACTTTTTTAGCGGTCCCGTCCGTATTCCTATTTAAATAATGTTATTTTTAACGCTTATAGTGAACAGCTTAGAACTTGGAAACTCGGTTATAGTGGACTCAAATTTCATTTCTTTAAATATCTTTTTCAGTCCTCCATCTTTAAACTTGTAGGTGTTGGGACTGAAAATGAATGCATTCCTATAAAATGTGTCATATTACTCTCCTTTATGCTTATCACTTTTAACTATACTGTAATAAATGTCAAACAGATCATTTATCTTATACTCCCCCCTCCCTGACAAGCCTCGCTTTATCTCTTTTCCCCAAGCTTGCTCTACAACTAGTTAACTTGGCCACCTGCTGAATTTTTGGAATTTTCTTATCTGTTCAAACCATATTCTTTACAAATCACCCCTTGACAATCAAGAAGGGGAACAATTTAACTCATTCTACAGCTGCTCTCTTCATATTCTTACATTATCTATTTGAGACAAGATTTTTATTTCAAAAGCAGTGAAAATGGCAAATTCTCTAAAGAGAAAAGCGTTTTCGATAGAGGACAAAGTTAAAATTGTAAAGCGTATTGATGATGGAACCAATCAATCGACACTGTGTAAGGAATTTTCCTTGTCAAAATCTACAGTTTCAAACATTTGGAAAAATCGAAGTGCAATTCTTGCGGCATACGACAAAAACATGGTTTCATCGAAAAAACTGCGTGGAGCTGAAAGAGAAAACGTAGAAGATGCTTTGTTAAGATGGTTCGAAATCTTGTTCAAAATGTAAAAATCTTGCATTCTTTGCACATTGTAGATAAGAAAATTGATGAACTCAATTTAAAATCAAATTGTGTTCAATCAAAAATCACAAATTTTTTTCATAAAAAGTGAAAATAAAACTAATATTTAGCGACGTAATTACTTTTTCCATCAATTTTTGCTTTATTATCTGTTAATTAGTTAATAATTTTTTAAATAACTTATGCAAAATTGCAAAGCCAATTTTCAATCATTCAACTGTCTTATGCAAAAAATATTCTTCAAAAAATTTGGATATAGTGAACCATCGGTTATAGTGGACACATTACTGAGTCCGCAGACGGTTCACTAGTAGTAAAATTTCTCTTATTTTAAAATCCTACTGAATTTTTTCCTATTCATGTTGGCAGCTATGTACATATACTGTATTAGTATTATGGAATAATTTAATAGTGATTTTTTATTTTCTTCCAGTGGTATCCTGAAGTGAGTCACCATTGCCCGAATACGCCGATCATCCTAGTGGGTACGAAGCTAGATTTAAGAGAAGACAAAGAGACTATTGAGAAATTAAAGGAACGGAAGCTCGCACCCATCACCTACCCACAAGGACTGGCCATGGCCAAAGAGATCGGGGCCGTTAAATACCTTGAATGTTCTGCACTCACTCAAAAGGGCCTAAAAAATGTATTCGACGAAGCTATACGTGCCGTCCTCTGCCCCCAACCCAAACCTAAAAAGAGGAAACATTGCATTCTCCTGTAACATTGCCGCTCTAAACCAAATTTAAAAAAGAAACTGTTCTGTTGTTAAGGCTTATTTAACTATATTTTTGCAATCATCGAGTTTGTTAACTTTTATGTATATTTACATATATTTTCTGTAGAAACTAATGATGCTCCGCTTTCAATAATAATTAACTGTAAAATTTAATCCTGTTTTTTGTTTTTGTTTTATCCATCTTGCAGTGAAGAGCTAAACAGGTGTCCTTTCGTTTTATTACGTTAACGTTTGCAGGGGTCTGTCTAGGTTTTTTTTGAGGGGTACCTATTTTGTGAAAATTTAGACATTAATTTGTAAAAATTAAAAATCAACACCAGAATATGGTAAAATAAGAAACTATTTTCAAAAGTTGTCACTAAAAATAAAAATTATTTATGACTGGAAAGTTTCTATATATTTTCTCCCATCATTGTCTATAGTTAAATTTCAACTTGAATTTATTAAAAATATGCATTTAACAATACTAACACTAAAAGTTATTTTCATTTTGAGGACAAAAAAAAAGTTTCACAGAAATTTTCACAGGAAAAGGCTCACAGAAAAAAAAAGAAAAAAATTTTCATGAAAAATAAAGTTTTGTTAGAATAAATTTACAATAGTGTTTAAGATAATGCTCGAATGTTTATAATTATGTTCGAATTTTGACTTCCTGTGATGTTTATAGGGGGCGCATCGTTTTATTTATAAAAAAAAAGCTCGCTTTGATATGGCAAAAGCGACTAGTTAGGCATACCACATTACACTATCTGACCAAGCACGTGCTACGTTTTCGTAAAAGACAGCTGCCAGAAAAGTTCTTTTCCCATAGATTGCAAGGAGAACGAAGTTTGCATTAGAACTTGCTTTTTATAAAGTATTTTCTGAAACTGCCGTTTTTCCTAAAGTTGAATTTGTGAAGGTACCACCAAACAGTAGTAAATTTACCCTGGACAGACCCCTGGTTTGAGTTCTGACACATATTATACCGAGTAGCCCTCACATGTGAGCGAGGTTTTGAAATATCCTCACAGTATTTAGCAATACTTACCATTTTGTATTACGTCGTTTGGGCGTTCTACAGTATTCTGTGCTTTTGGGGAGGACTGTTAACTGTATAAATGATGGGCACAAACAGACTGCGCAGATGGCTGACGCTTCCGCAGTAATATTTAAGGGTGCTCAACCCTTCATTTTGAAGCTTAAAAACTATTTAGTTATAATTATCGTTATGCTATTTTTGAATTTATTGATTGTGAGTTATTAAGTATGAATTTGTAACAGTTTAAATGTTTGTGGTTATAGATTTTGACTATAATGTATAGTATTCTTCAAGTTTTTTTTCCTTCCTGCTACTAAAAGTTCTTTTATATTGTATAAAACTTCTTAAAAGTCAACATGTTTTTTAACAACTTTTTGATAAGGGTTTAGAATCATTATGCAGTAAAACCTCAAAAATCCAGACTGCTCGGGGGGTTTGGGATGTCCGTATTTCGGAAAAATTACACATTTTAGATATTTTTAAGGAGATGTCAAAGTTTCTGGTCTGTCCTAGTATTTTGATGTGATAGTACAATACGTGAATTCCGAGACATGTTGAGTAAATATTTCTTTCTGTTTCAAATTGCCTCATTAGTATCGATTAAATTGTAATTTTTTCATTTTTTTATATTTTATTTATATTAAATTTTTTATTTATTTTTTGCAATTATTACTACACATTTCTGCATGATGTTTAAAATCCCAATATTTTAATTTATCCCAATAATTATTATAACAACTCGAGAATTTTGAATAACACGATTGGCATATAATATTTTCAGCAGTAATTGCTGTGGATTTTTTAAAGTTCTTTAATTTTTTTTAATAGTACAATAATGTTACAACCTGCGTATTTGTGTAGATTTGCTTTACGCACTGATTTCAGTGTCAATTTGCCTGATTTTATAGATAACTTTTTCAACAGATGTATTTTCATGCGACCTTTAAAATAGATTTTTAATGTGGTATTGTTACAACACGAGGTTTCCACATTTTGCCTCGAACATAAAATTTAATTCTTTTTTTCTTTTTCTTTCTCTCCAAGAATTTAACAAAAATAATCTGGATTTTGGTGGCTTCCGGATAGCTGAACTCCAGATTTTCGAGGTTTTACCGTATTATCAAAATTCTTCTTTTGCTTATACATGTCATGTACAGTTTAAAAAAATTATATATTTTAGATTTTGATTGCTCAATAAGAAATTAAAAAGCTAATGTTAAGCTGTTAGCTAGAAATTGTCGAGATATGAATTTCTTTTCCCCAAAAATAATTTGCTCTTTACAGTGCTGTTAGTGTTTATCCTTTGTTTTTTTTTTAATAGAACTTTTTGAATTTTTATATCTGATACACACTTGTAAATTGTCATTCACAGATGTACAGTTATTTGTTTGTGGTTTGCTATTAAATAACTTTATTTCTTGTTATGAAGATGAACTTGTTATCTTGACTATGTTAGTTAATTTTTTCCTTCCTTGTGTATAATTGCTAAACTAATGTGTATGTGCCATTCTCCAATGCCCCCAACATGTATAATGTATCGATTTCGAACGCCACTACCCCGCAACATATCTGCTGATTCCAAGTTTTATTATTTTAAAATTGTATCTTTACATGTATATTTGGAGCATGATCCAAAGATAACAAGTCATTACTGAAAATCTGCTTGGAGATTCCTATTTCATGAATTAGAACTTGAAGAATAATCTTCAAGATCTGGTGTCCTTTCAACAGGTTTGTAAAAAAAATTTTTAAATAAAAAAAAATCATGGAATAGAGCCATTTTGTAACCATGTCCTGATACAAGCCATTATACATCCTTTTTTTAAATTGTTCTAAATGAAATTAAATGGGAATTTTAATTGATGCCATGGCAGTTTCAATTGCTGCAAACAAGTATTGATATGGAGATATCTCCAAATCTACAAATATAATTCATTTTTAAGTTATTGGAACAAAGTGTTTGGATTTTGATCCTTAAATTTTTTGAAAAAACAGAAAGCAAACATTACTTTAAACAATGTTAAATGCAAAAAAAACCTCTTAAATTGTTTAAAACTTTTTTATTTATAGTTTAACTCTCTTGTCGACCTACATTAAATTCTATTCTTTTTTTTAGCTAGAACCTCAATTATATAAATATATATGCACTTTTTGATTTTTCACAATTTCATTAACATGCTGTTCTAATTCAGCTTTGTATATAGAAACTTTTGCATGACATAAAGTTGATGATTTTATAATGTTTGTTGTTAAATCTGTCTTTTCATTATTACCACTATGGTTTCATCTTCTAAAAGTATATATATTATTTGTGCAAATAAATAATATTTATTGTAGAATTGGTAAAAAGTATTTCTAAGTCTGTAAATAGAATCTGCCAATTATTCAAAATTAGATGCTACTTTCTACACATACGTTCTATTTGAAAAAAAAAATACTGCTTCTTGAGGCAATTTTAGTATCCTTTTGCCTACTTAGTGAAAAAGATAATTATTGAATGGTTATTAAATTTAAATACTATTCAGCACTGTTATAGAAAGAAAGCTTTAATTTTGAGTTTAAAAAATGAAGCTTCCTCTACAATTTAATTATTTCGATAATCGGAGGTTGGTACTATCCTGATCAGTTGGGATAATAAAGGTTTTGAAAAGCTATAAAATTGGCAGTCAACTTAAATACTATAGTCCAATAGTTTTCCAGAACAGACTGTTATCATTGAATCATTCTCTGTATACTGTAAGCATACGATTCATAATTGTGGTACTACTGGTCTTATAAATGAAAGCTCTGTTACTGTTTTTTTAATTATTTTTATTTTATTTGTGAATATAAAGATTTAATCTCTTAAATTAATCCCGACATTTCTGATTATAAATTACTTTGTTCTTATAATTTAGTAGAACAGTTAAATCTTTATTATTTATCTAATCTAAATTTTGCCTCTTCTTTATCTGCAAATTTATTTAATTATAAAATTATTCTGATGGGTTGATGACTTATACAGAAATATACTGAATGGATAACTATTACGATTTATCCATGATTTGATTCACAATGACAGTGTTACTGTTACAGTTGAATAATAAAAATTAAGATTTTTGAGAATTTTCTTAATATTCCGTTAACTGCCAATGAATAATGAAAAAAAAGTAACCCCTAAGTATTACATTTTTATATTTAATAGTGAATTCATGCATAATTTTAGGTACATACCTGTTTAGAATTACACAGTAGAAACATCTTAAAATTGGGCTAATTTGTATTTTGTTTATATCAAGTTTCGAAAGGTAGCATATCTTCATCAATAATATCATTCAGGTTATGGCCATAGATTAATCGAAGAGTAAAATGCAAAGCACTTGGATATCTTTTACAACTTTTAATAAAAAAAAATTTCTGTTATTAGTAGCGTAATATTTAAAACACTTCAATTTTCAGCATTTTAAAATTTTGAAAGAAAAAAAATTATTGAGAATGACCAAGACGTTTTTAACTTTTTAGATAGTTATGCTTTACAATAAAATTTTGTTTATTTTGATAATGAAATTTTTTTTGTATTATAAAAAGCTACATCATCACATTTTATTATTTTTAAATCTGTTATTTTAAATAGCTTATGAATTTCGAAGTATAATCCGAACAGTTTTATGTGTGTCAAATTACAATTTAAAAAAAACTCTTTTCTTACATAGGTAAGACTAAAATTATTATTTGAAATATTGAGCGATGACTAAAATGAATATTTTTGATTATTAGTTTGTTTTTGATTCTAATGTGTATCATTTGATTCAACCAACGTGTGTAAAATGAATTCCCATTTTAAGCATGGCTTTGAAGAAGTCAACAAAAAGGTGATGAATCAACATATTTTAAAGGTGTTTTGTCTTCTGGCGTTAAAATAAATAATTTTTTCTTTAATAAGATGTGTAAAAAATATTTCCTTTTAAGCTTTGTATAGACCTTCTAACATTGAGAACAAAGATTCTCAACCTTTTTAAAGTTTTGATATTTTCTGTATCCCAATTAAAGTATGTAATTTTTTTTAAATGGTGTTTTGTAGCCACAATCCTTAATATATATTTTAGGAATTCTTATCAAAAATAAAGTCAACAATGCATGCATAATTAAAGTTGCAAATTAATTTTCAAGCAATGAAGACTACAGGGCATCAAAACAAGTCCTGAAGAAACTTGTTGATGGTTGAAACAGGTGTTCCCGCTAATTAGCTTTCCACTTTCTTTCTGTTGTGAAACAGATCTTGGTGAGGGAGTCCTGCTTTCCTCAATAGTGAATTAATTCATTTTTGTTAAATAGGCTTTTCTTTTTGCTAAAGACAGGGTATTTGCGCACCTGGAAAGTCGTGGAAACAAAATTTGTCACGATTTTAATTATTTTTTTAAAAAAAAAGTTGTGGATTTAGTCATGAAAATCATGGATTTTTTTTAATTCCGAAATGAGAAAATAAAAATCGGGAGTATTTCTTTCCTTTCCCACGATCAAGAAAAGCATATTTGCTTTTGTACTTTTTTCAGCAATTTTATTGTTTAACTCTTTCTTTACTCTGTTTTTCAAATTTAAAATCTATAAATATGAAGATGCAGAACATAACAGTTTTGGTCATACCTATCATTTCATTTAATGTTATGATGCTTTTTTAAATTTAGTGTTGTGTTTTCTCGGAGAAAATAGTAACTTAAGTCATGAAAAATTCTTGGAATTAGTCATGAATTTGACAATTTAAAATGTAGCAGATACCCTGTTATGATTTATAATGATTATGCTATTATTAAAATGTTTAATTATGTCTCCCAACTTAACGAATATTTTTTAATAATAAATTTGCTTTAAAACATTTTTTAATGCCAATGAAGTTATGCTCAATTAAAATCTATTTCTAAAGTATTTTTTTTGTTAATATGTAATGGCTTTCAATTTAAATAAAAAAATTTTTGTTGATAATGTTTGCCAAAACTGATATTGATTAGATTTATTTTTGAATTGATAGTAATGATTTTCTTTTTACTAAATTGTTTTCAAAAAGTATAAAACAGCAATTTATAATAAGAGTGGTGAATGTACATAACATTGTGTAGAGAAACTAGCAGGAATCGGGAAGGAGAAGTTGATGAAAAAGTTTCAACTCAATTCAACTTGTGGCTAAAAAGTATTATATAAAAAGTTTTATTGTTACTTTATATAGATATATATTGCTATCGAATCTATGCTTTCTTTTTTGTAATATATCATCAAACATTGTAGTTAAAAGTGTACATGTTTATATTTTATTTTTAAGCATTTCTAGCTGAAATGTATGTTTGTTTTTTTCCATGCAAAAAGCATTTACATGATTTGATTTTTCCCCCCTCTAATATTTACAAGTGTTGACAATTAACAAATTGGTTTAATATGTATTTTTGTCACTGCCCTATTTCTGATTTTAAAATTTTATTTCTAAAGTTTTTAGTTATTTAAATGCTATTGTTCACATTTAGTAAATAGACTTTCCGAAATAAACATATATTTTTTGAAGAAAAAGCTTTGTTTTATTCAATGATAAATTGCAGAAGGTTATATTGCTTTACGAAAAAAAAAGAAATATTTGTGCCGAAGTTGCTAAAATAAGGCCTATGGTCAAAATCACAATTCACATTATCTGGCCTCTCGTAGTTTTTTTAAAAAGCCTTGTTTTGTTTAATATTAGCCGGGATAGCTTGGTTGGTGGGGCACTGGGCCCATGTCCAACATGTCGTGGGTTCGATCCGCCAGCCGAAGACTCCTCGTGTAGTAATTGGTGACTGATGCACGTTAAATCTGTCGAGTCTCAAAGTCCATGTTTGCATAACGAATATCTCTGAGGGTACTGGATCCAGGAGTTCCCTTGTCTTCTGGATTAGTTCAAAAATTACAAGCCTACGGGGTTGAATATTAGTAATCGTTAACCCAAAATTGGGTCGGCTGTTCAACGACGGATATATATATATATTGTATGTATATATATATATTGTATATATAAATGGCGGAAGATTATACTGCTTCACACACACAAAAAAAAAAACATTTATACCGAAGTCAACTCGCATTATCTGGCCTCTCATAGTTCTTTTAAGAAGCTTTGTTTTGTTAAATGATAAATTGCAGATTATACTGCTTCAAAAAAAGAAAAAAACATTATTTATACCGAAGTAAACTCGCATTATCTGCCCTCTCATAGCGTTTTTAAAAGGCTTTGTTTTGTTTAATGATAAATTGCTGACGATTATAATGCTTTACGAAAGAGGAAAAAAAAAACGTTTATGCGGAAGTTACCAAATGGCCAAAACCACAATTCACATTATCTATTAATATTTTGTATTTGATTTGTGCTTGCGGGTTTGCGTGGTTCGTATATTACGAGCTCATGTAAATAATGTTGATCGGATTTTAGAGAAACAACAACAAGAAGAATAAATTGCGGATTAATAATTAATGCGTTTATTATATACAGCGCATTGGTCTATCTTTGTAGACACAATGAAACCAACTGAGAAGTAACTATTTTTTTCTAATTAATGCAGCTAGCGTTACTTGTACAACATACATGCCGGCTTCAACATACCGGGTCACATTGAAACAAAGTTTCAAAATTTACAAAAGTAAAATTGAACTATAAACATCTAATAAAATATAATTATAAAAAACTAATGCAACATACATGAAATAAAAAATATATATCATAAACAGATGTACAGATTCCTTGGTATAAACCGGATAACTAGAACACAAAACAAAAAGTCTAAAATAACGAGAGTTGATCAGTCAATAGGTAAAACTGACAATTTGTGAATGGGTCTTTTATAAGTTCCACTCTCAGTTTTGACCACGATGACTCTTACCTTAGCGTCAGCACTAGGGAAAACTTCTTGTATGCTCCCCAATTTCCACTTCAAAGGTGGAGTACTGTTCTCTTTAATGAGAACTAAATCATTAATTTTCAAGTTAAGCTGGACTCACAACCATTTGGGAAGCTGCTGTAAGCTGGAAATATACTCGTTAACCCATCTTTTCCAAAAATTCTGGAAAAGTTCTTGAGTCAACTGCCAACGTTTTAAAGGAGATATGTTTTGGCTTAGAAGGATCTCTTCTGGTATTGAAGAAAAAAGAATAAGACATACTTTGCGCTAAATATTATCTAATATGAAATAAATTCATTATTGAGCCAAATCAAGAATAAATGTTTACATACTTTCAAAAGGGATTTCTCTCCAACATCAGAAAGCTTGCCATTCCGTTAGGGAGGATCCTCTCTCATCTTCTATCTCTTCCAACGATGAAATCTTCCATGACAATCTTTCTTCATTGAAGAAATATTTCCTTTCTGAACCTTGAAAAAAGAATAAAACATGCTTGGCTTTAAACATTATCTAATATGAAATAAATTCATTATTGCGCCAAATCAATAATAAATAAAGGGATTTCTCTCCAACATTAGAAAGCTTGCCATTCCATTAGGGAGGATCCTCTCGCTTCTTCCATCTCTTCCAAACGATGAAATCATCCATGACAATCTTTCTTCATTGGAGAAATATTTCCCTTCTGAACCTTGAAAAAAGAATAAGACATACTTTGCGTTAAACATTATCTAATATGAAATAAATTCATTATTGCGCCAAATCAATAATAAATATTAACATACTTTCAAAAGGGATTTCTCTCCAACATTAGAAAGCTTGCCATTCCATTAGGGAGGATCCTCTCTCTTCTTCCATCTCTTCCAAACGATGAAATCATCCATGACAGTCTTTCTTCATAGGAGAAATATTTCCTACTGAACCTTGAAAAAAAGAATAAGACATACTGTGGGTTAAAGATTTTGAAAACAAGATATATAAAAAATATTAATATACCTTCAAAAGAGTATGTTCTACAACATCAGAAAGCTTGTCAATTTTCTATCCTTTGGGGTGGATCTTCTTTTTTCTTTCCTCTCCTCCGAACGAAAAAATGTTCCATGACAATCTTTCTTAATTGGAGAAAAATATCCCTTTTGAACCTTTAAATGGAAAAGAAAACATGCTTTGCGTTAAAAATGATCAAAGATGAAATAACTGATTTGAGAAGCAAGATGTATAAAAAATATTAATATACCTTCAAAAGAGTATGTTCTCCAACATCAGAAAGCTTGTCAATTTTCTATCCTTTGGGGGGGGATCTTCTTTTTTCTTTCCTCTCTTCCGAACGAAAAAATGTTCCATGACAATCTTTCTTAATT